GTTTGAAGATGCAGAAGCACGTGTTCTGGATGGATCGCATCCCCAAAGGCAGTTGTGCTTTCTCAGTGTGGAAATCAGAGGTAGAATATCCCCACTTTCTGATGAAGCCCTCTTCTCCCTTTTTCTGCATTTGTACCGCATGTTTTTTCATGATACCACATCCCCATGTCCCCATGTCAGCCTTCTCCTTGAGGCATCCCTCTTTTCAATCTTATTCTAGAATCTGAAGGTTTGCAGGACAGTGGGTCTTATGCTCAACCAGTATTTTTCAAGAAGCATCCTTTGCGTGATTGAAGTCACACTGCATGCCAGTTTATAGCTGATGGCACTTTTGGAGCCATTGTTTTTAGCTACCGAAATATGTCAGAGAGAAGAGGAAAGGGGCATACAAGAAACTGAAAACATGATGTACCTAGTTCAAAGTGCACTTCTGAACCCTGTGTTAGCTTGTAAATGACCAAAGTAGACACTGTCGCGCTTTTGCCATAGCTACCTCTCAGCTGGTGGAACAAACAGAGAAGCAAATGCTGGGACTTGGCTCTCAGGGAGCATTTCTGTGCAACAGCAGCGTGGGGGCAAAGAGCCATCTCAGCAGAATCAGTGCGGTCAGAAACCCTGTATATGTTATATTGGAGTGACAACAGTTGAGAGAGCCTTCTTTATGGTCCATACATTGCGGCATTACCAGCCCGGTCTGGCCAGCTGCAGGTCCATCCCCGAGCAGGGACATTTGGGAATGCCTGTTGCTCCTCCGCATCTTCTGCGTTGTCTGCTCCTTGCTGAGATGGTCCCTGTTGGAGAGGAGAACTCACTTTTCTGCCACGCTGGTGGTTATTTGAGAGACTTTTATATGTATATCTAAACTATAAAGCCTTGAATAATTTACCAATTTCCAGAGTTAAGGGGAAGATTTATGATGTTTCCTTCTGGCAGGCTGATCTTGATTCTCCTGGAAAAACAATTGCACTAACGGCTCCTTTCTCCGAGCAGATCCAGGAACAGCTACTGCAAGTTTATGTCGCCATGTGGTAAATAGACCTGTCTTCTTGTGTTTTACAATGTAGTGAAATCTACCCGCTGATCTGATTGCTCTATGGGGTAGCGCAGCCTGCAAGGAGAAAAACGGGGTGTCACCCTTCAGATCTATGACAGGAGTCACATACCCCCACCAGTAGAACCAAGCGTGCAGTAACACAGGACAAAGATTGATTTCCATTGCTTTTCTAGAAAAGGTCCCGATAGGCCTTAAATCAGACTGAACTGGCAACAGAGCTTAGCGAAAGCTGGAATCTTTCCTTTTGCGAGTATTTGAGATCTGAATAAAACATAACATAGACCTGAATCTCAGTAGTTTAGTCAGCCAGGCAGATTTTTTTCCATGAATTAGAAGAAACCAATATAGATCTGTGTAAAGAGTACCTATGAGCTGGTGTTCTCATGGTACTTAGCTTTGGCATCCTGGGCTGCCCTGTGCTCAGGGGGGCTGGGGGTGCGGGGGGAATATTTGCATCTCCAGTGAACACTGCACTTGGGTGGCTCACTTGGCGCCGTGGGGAAAGGGGGGGTGAAGCGTGATGGTGGTCCTCTTGCGTTGACTCCTCTATACATTGACTACGGGGTGGATGAAGGTACTCACAGGCTCATCTTTTCCTTTGATCCCGTGTCTTCAGTTTGACTCTAAATCTTCATGCTTTTTCTTTCACACTTCTCTTTAAAAGCAACAAAACGCTATAGTGATGTAGCTTGGAGTAAGACGTGTCAATAGTATTGGGCACGGAGCAGTTAGGGCTGGTTTTAAATATGCTCTGGTCTCTCTTGCCCCATTCCCACTCATGGACTGTCCCCGTGGATCAGTGACACTTGTTCAGGTTCCTCAGCTTCACATTTTCTTCTTAGATGGGCTTGGGTGGCTTTTGGCTTCATCTGGACTTAGAAATCCTGGGGATGTGTCACCGGAGTGAATGGCAATTGCCATGGAGTGTGTCATGTGAATACTTGGTATGTGCTGTCACCTGCAAGTTCTTGTTAGCAGGGGTTGTGTCCAGGAGTTTTTCTTTGAGAGCTGAGACTTTTTTTTCATTTAAAAAATTGATTAAAAATGAGTGGAGGGAGTCCTAGCTATGAATTGTGAAGACAAGGACTCGAACGCCCTTGCAGCTTTGAACCGCTGGAAATTTCATCTTTGTATCTTTCATAAATCTGATTTTTAGAGCTGGAGTCACAGGTGTGCTCTGCATTGATCCAAAACTGTGTAAAACAACCAGATCCTGCGGTGTTCATTCAGCAGAGCATCCCCACCGGCATCTTCCCACTCCGTGCTCCTGCGCACCCCTGCGCACCCCCCTGCCTTGTCGTCATCCCCTGCTCGCTCCCACTCCCACGCCACCCACCCCAGCACTTCCCTCTCTGCCTGCGGCTCACCAGATGCACCAGGCAAGGTACAGACTGGTCTTTGAAAAGAAATCCTGTGAATTAATGGGAACGTATTGCTATTATTTCGTATAATCAGTTTATTTGCAAAGCGCATGCTGCAAAGGTACTCCTGCTGTTGAACTCAAAGCAACAAATCTATCTATATATCCTAGTCTATACTTCATTATGAACAGATGGGTGAAGAAAAAAAAGCAATAAAAACAAATAATAAGAAAGGTAACAATGACAGCAATTTTAAAACACTCCCAGAAAAAAAAAAGTTTCTAAATTTTTTTTAAAACAGCGTGAGATTGAATGAACTGAACTGCAAGTGCATCCATCCTCAAAGTTAGCATGTAAACATCTCCCAGCAGAGGAAGAATTGCGTTTTTTCCAAGTGGCTGCCTTCTCACCTTGTTCCTGTTACAGAAGAGATCATAAGAAACCTGGGTGAGATATCTGGGGTTTGGAAGCTTTTTGGGGTTTTTTTGATTTTTTCTGAGTTCCTGGGGAGACAGAGACCACGGCAGGGAGGACGGTGCTTCCCTTGACCATCCAACAACCGAGAGAAACCACAGTCCTGTTGAACTCAACGTGAAATAACAGTCTTCTCAGAAGCACGTATTTGTTCACATAACTCGCTCTGAACATTATTTTTCTGCCTCTGCTGAAAAGGAGGAAACTTCAGTTATAAAGAACAGTAGAGAGAAATTACCATTAATCTCATAAAAAAGAAATTATTCAAATGTAGCCTTCACCCATGATGCCAGTGAGCTCAAAGTAGAGGGGAAATTTAAAACATTTATGTTACTCTGTTTCTGAGATCATAAAACACAAACAAATGGTCTGGCACTGGATGCTAAATTTCTTAAGGAACTTGCTTTAATTAATTAAACTAGTAAACCAATTAATGGATTTACTTGTAAATTCTTAGAAAATTAATTCTGTGCCCAAGGAGTGTTTTAAATCTGCAAAGGAGGCAGTGTGTATTTCATACAGAGCTTGAATTCCCATTTTAGATGAATCCAATTCAGTGCTGACTTTTGGAGACGCAAGTGATGCATTCATAATATTCGGACCTTCCTCCGAAAGCAGCTCTTCCCCTCAGCCAAATCCGGCGGGGAGGATTTGCAAAACAAAACCGGTGCTGCTTTCACAGCACCCAGCCCCTGTACTAGCTCCTAGCTGTGCTACAGCCTCGCGTCGTGCCTCTGGCGTTACACGGATTGTGGATGTACCTCCCTCCCCGTGCCTCCAACTGCCTTCTTCATCTGCCATCTCTGCTTTCTTCCTACTTAGCCTCTTTAATCTGACCCAGTGGTACATCAGAGGCGCAGAAAGCAAGTCGGGTAGCTCCAGTAAGCAGCAGATTAAAGGACTGAACATCCTTTGGAGTTGCTGAAAAACAACCGAGCCGAAGTGGAGGAGATTTAAACAAAAGCTAATTTACTTTTCCACACGGAAACCTTGTTTAGATTCCCTGCCTGGCTCAGGGGTAACGGAGGCATCCTTGGTACTTTGAGCTCTTCGCAATCCAAAGTGACACATACATGAAAAGTTCATAATCAGATGTGTCCAGGCTCCTGAGAACATGAAATCAGAAACAAGCAGGTTCCCTGGGGCTCTCGGCAGTTATCGCTTCCTTTCTCTCCTAGCAGGTAAAGCCATGTTTTTCCCTTCACGTGGCAATCCTCCGCTCTGGCTCTTGGCATCCTTTGACTGGGGTGGGGGTCTGCTCCCGCTCCTGCACACCCCGGGAGGATGCTGGCTTTGCCCAGCACCGCCCGCGCTGCCCCGCCTCGGCTCCGAGGGGAAGCAGAGCTGCGGAGCAATTAGGAACGGGAGCATTTTGAAGAGGAAAATGGCAGGGGAAAAAAATTAGCATTTGCGCTGTGATGTTTTTGCTGTTTATTAATAAACAAGCTGCTTTTGTGTCTCCGGAGGCAGGAGAGGCTTCAAGCATTCCTTATTTCTCTTGCATTTAGCTTTTTTTTGCTTGTTTTATATGTTACAGGAGATTTGTAATGTCTTCCCACCTGTTGAGTTTCCTTATTTTCATGAGAGCATCTCTGGAATAATTCCTCTGGAGCTCTCGGCTGCGTGCTGCCGGGCTCATTTAAACATCTAGAAACACTTTAGGGATGTGATCAGCAGCTCATTGGGAAGGAGTCATGTTAATTAGGAACAGGTCTGCTTCCTCCCACAGAAGCGGAATGACTTCAGAGATAAGTGTTTTCATGGAGAGAAAGCCCGTGCCTGTAGCTCCTGCCACCCAAGACCTGGGTGGTGATGGTGACGGTGACCCCGACATGGGCACCCCAGTTCTGCGCCGGCGGCACAGCCTGGCCCCTGTGCAGCCCCTTTCCAGGATGGTGAAACCCCTCGTCTCCCCACCACCCCACTTGTCACTGGGGAAGGCTCACGCAGGGGTCCTGCATGGGGATGTTGGAAGTGCACAACTCAATAACAGCCCGGGGTGAATCCATGCTGAAGGAGGCTTCAGGGTAACGCCGCTACCTCTACCTTGCGTCACAGGAGGTGAATTAAAACCCTGCTGTATTAATGGGCTTGTTCTTCTTTCCTCTCAGGCCTCCAGCTCCTCTGGTGGAAAAATGCAGCTTCTGGAAACTGAGTTCTCACGAACCATCCGGGAGCTCATCGAACTCCACCTGCTTCGCCAGGACAGCATCCCGGCCTTCCTCAGCGCCCTCACCCTCGACCTCTTCAGCCGCCAGACCATTGCTTAGCGTCCCACTGTCAGCCACCAGCCAGGTGTGGAGCACTCCTGGGCGGCACACTTGAGGTAGCGAGGACAAATTCTCCCCTCCCACCCTTAATTTGTGGTATTGGGTTGTTTCTGTTTTGCAGGGAACTCCTTTTTCCCTATTCTTTCATGCTGATTCCCAAATCCCACCGATTCCTCTGAAAAGCATCATTTCCCTCCGGTGGGAGGGCAAGTCTGGCTCCATCCCAGGGTTCTCCCGTGCCAAGACCTAATCCCTGCCTTTGAACTGGGAAATATGTTCATCATTACCCAGACTGTCTCAGCATCTCTCTGGGAATATGGTGGGAACTGCCAGTTTGAGGAGCCAAAGCATCACCGTTTGCAGCTTTTCCCAAAAGGATCCCCCAAATCTGGGCCCCAGCAGTGAGATGAGCCTTGCAGGAGGTTGGTGCTTCCTGCCTCCGTGGTTGTCCTCTCCTAGTGGGAGCCAAGGGCTTGGTGCTTGAGGACAGGGACCTGGGGAAAGGTCAGTCAGGAGTAGCAGGTTCTTTGTGGATACCTCCTGCTCTTGCAAACACCTCATCACTCAACAGAATTGAAATTATTTTCAAGATTTCCACAGTTACCTGAGTCTGCCATCACTCAGCAGATGAGCAGAAGCGTAAGTGGCCATTTGAAGACCTTATACCTCTGTTGACACCTCTATGTTGTGTGGTGTGCTCAGGTGTCACTGGCATGACTTTGTTCCTCACTGAGACTCTCGGGCTCTTGGTTATCTCAGGACTGCAGAAGGGAGAGAGCTCTTTGGGGTGTGCTCACTGCTCCTGGCTTTAGCCCGCTGCCTGCCACCAGGCTGTGGGTACCTGCTCACCTTGCTGGCGGTCTCCCTTCTCCTCTCCTCCATGGAGGATGGAGCACCCCCTGAAGTCTGACATTTTGTGTTACAATGGATATAGCTCTTCTATCATAAGAATAAAGTGTCACTTCCCAAACTGGATGTATGACTCCTTTATTTGGGCTATGCACTGTGCTCCACCTGTGCTCTCCCACATGTAGAGCATGATAACGAATTGTCCATCAATTGTTTGATGCTGGTACTGCTTTGAGAAGGGAGGACATCATTATCTCAGTTTTTCCAGGCAAGTCTCATTCATGCTGTAAACCAGATTAGTTTCTTATTAACTTCTGTGTATATTGATTTCCTCTTGGTATTTTTTCAGCTTGGAGAGAAAGTAGCAGTAAGCGGGCTAGGAAGTTAGCTCAGGTGCTGACAGTGGCTGCAGGGTTGGCCATACATGCAGGAGTCACGCTGGGACCTGTCGATATGTCCACAGGCACGGAAAATAGCTGCTATAGACCCAAGTGATCAGAGGTGGAGGGAGAAGCGTGTGCTCTGGGGAGGCTGCAGCCCCCATCTCCCCAACCCTCCTCTCCGCAGGGTTTGCAGGGAAGTGCGATAGCAAAAGTTTGGAGTTTTCTCTTCTGCTTGAAGAAGTCCTGGTGGAAGATGAATTGCCTGGCATGCTGTGCCAGGGGAACGCTGCCTGATTCATATGCGCGACGTGGCACTGAGAGTCGCCTTCCTCAGTCATGGGGAAAATGAATCATGACGTCAGCCGCATTCGGTTCCTCCGCCAACACAATAGCAGATCCTGGCTGCCTCTGAAAATTTTTCTCCTGGCTCCTCGCAGGAGAAATGAAGTAATTAATAAGTTTACAATAAACCCTCTATCTTAGCAAAACACGGGTGAGCTGAGAAGCGATGCTGGAGAGAGACAAGGGAAAACATGTTCTGCCCGTTGGAAAGGTGCCTCCCAAGAGTGAAAGGATAATAAGTTGGGGTAGAAAACACAGTAGTCTTCTGAGACACCTTCAGTGGGGAGGAGAGACAGATGAATTACCGCTCTGCACCCCGTTCTCCCAGCAAGACTGATTTGTTCAACTAAGTTTAATACAGCAGCACGGCTGCGAGAGGTGTATTGTGAGGATGGGTGCTTGGCTAGATGTGCTGGCGTGGTGCAGCGCCTGGTCCTGCTCATGGCTTGGGAAGCTGCTGGGGTAAGTGTCCTGCTTTGGCCAGTAGTATCCCTGCCCTGCTCATGGCGTTAGCTGTTGCACAGCGAGCAGGCTGTCAAACTGAGACTTCTGGGAAGCTTGGCTGCTCTAAGGCTCACTGGGGGAGGCCTGGGAGCATTCAGCTGGAAGTGTGACCATTTCGAAGCCACCTGGGCCGCCTGTGGCACAAGCAAAAGGAGCTGAAACTCCCCAGTTTTTAGCTCCAACACCGAATTCAGGATGAAGCCCCAAACATATGGCTGTACCCTGCCACCACGGCAGCTCCTGTCGCTGCTGTTGTCATTATACTGCCTGTCTCAGCCATGACGGAGCTGCAAGGAATAACTGCAACGCTGAAGTTCGCAATAATTGCTTCTGCCATGCCGAGCTACATGGGGCTCGGCAGCCCATCGCGGGGCCCTGCCACCGTGTTCACCGTCCCCCACATCCCCCCCTCCATGGGTGCAGCCGCCGGGGCAGTGCAAACAGAAGCCCTGGTTGCCACTGATGGTACAGCAGGTTTCAACCACCCCAGGTGGTGGGGGCACAAGTTCCATCTGGTTTTGGCTCCTCACTTGCAAAACTTCAGCCCCATTTGGGGAAAATCCTTTTAGAAAATCTTGGGAGATCAGTAATAAATTTGCAATTGGTTGGAGGGGAGAGGCAAGAGTGTTAACAAGTGTGTGTATGCTCACTGGGTCTCTGTGCACACTCACAGGGTTTATGTGCTATAAGCTGTAAAATATGATTTATTGATGCACTGCTGGGGGACTGTCTTGTTTGCAGTGTTGCCTGAAGCTTCCCTTCACTCAAACTGCTTGCAAGCCCCTGCTCCTCTACTGCTCAGCCCCTTGCATCTGCGTGCATATATAAATACCAAACGGGCAAAGAGGTGTCATGTACTGCCATATGGTCCTCGAAAGCAGCAGAGCTTTTGGCCAAGGCAGGTTTTGCAAAGCTCATGCCTCTCCTAAGGTCACATCTCTGAATCTGGAGCCTTTTGCTCCTGCTTTGTGTCTCCTGGCTCTTGGCACCGTTTCGTGTTGTTTGCGTGAGCCTCAGAGTTGTCTTGGAAGTGTGTGATGCCTGAGAAGAAACTAGGGAAACCCTTTGGGGATGAGCCATGAGAAGCTTGGGGTTCATAGACGTTCGTTATGGATCTTCTCCATGTAACGCTGTAGGAGGAAGGGACGGAGAAGGGGGAAGAGCATGAAGCTGCAATGGAGGTGTGTACCTAGGGAGCAAAGGGTAGGAGCGGAGCTGGGATGGATGGAGAGGAAGAAACGGTGCTGGATAGAAAGAGAAGCCATGGTTTCTAAACTAAAGAAAGAAAAGCCATCTTCTCCCGCTGGCCGACTGATGCTGTCTCCAGAGGCTGAGTGGCAACTTGGGCCTGGGCTTCCCCCACCTTGGGGGCTGGAAAGTCACTGGTTTTCCCTCACACCCCTGGCAGCAGCAGGGCTCCGGCTGGAGACCCCCTCCTCTCCCTTCCCCGCTGCATGGAGCAAGAGCCACAACCTCAAGGCGTGGATCACAGCCCTCCCCAGGGTGTGCAGCCCTGTTGTACAGAGGCTGTTGCCTTGCACCCTCCCACAAGCCCCCGGGGTTTTTCCCAACTCCCTAAGGGCGGAGAGGCCTTTCCTTCCCCACAGCTCCTTCAAAGTGCCTTTTCCCTTCTGCCTCTCCCAGCACAGAGGGGGTTGGTTATTAGGGGTGGCAATGCAGCCGCTGTCTGGGCAGCCCTGGGCTCCCGTGAGCATCCCCAAATACCTCTTCCCACTGCTGCTGGGTTGAGGGGAGAGCTGCATTGGCTCGTGGGGGTGCAGAGAGGATTGGGGTATGGAGAGTGATGGGGCAGGAGCAATCCCACTCCAGGCTTTTGGATTTTCTGCCTGTCCTGGAACAAGCCAGTGAGGCCCTTGTGCACTGTGGGCTCTGTAAAATGGGAATATTGCTTCCCGGTCATGGCCCCCCAACCCCAGCCAGCAGGGAAGGTTATCTGACCCCAAAGGCAGCCCTACGGGGAGCCCAGATGGCTAGCAGCATCCCACCAGGGCTCATGATCGGTGGGAGTCGGACACAGCATCCTGCAACTGCAGCGCTGGCATTGCTGTCGGGTCTCCATTGCTCCCCTCTGCTCGCTCCAGCATGTGGAAGAAACACGGAACGGCATCTGCCCTTTTCATTTCCCAACCCCAGCAGTGGGCTGAGAGACAGCTGAGAATGGTGTGAGTTGGGCTGATGGGCGGACGTGTCAAAATAAGCCTCGGGGGAGAGAGGCAAAAGCTTTCTTAGGACATCACCAAGGTAATGCCGGACCCCGGCAGCTGATGCTGCTTGGTGTGGGAGATGACACAGCCAGGGCAGGTTTGGTTCTGTTATTTAGCTGGTCGAAGATGTTGGGAAAACGATGACGGTGTCAGATGCCAGGTGACCGTAGCTAACGATGGCACGTTCTTGACGAGGCAAGTGTAGTAGCTGGGGAGGACAGAACAGGCACTCTGCGCTGGTGTAAATCACATTCGCGCTGCCTGCTGTGACAGCAGATTCGGATTTAATAGCAGTGATGCTAAAAGTTGCATGATATTTAAAAGCTACAAAACGCGCCCACTCTGATCAGGGGAGGGATATTAAATAAATAAATAAATAAATAATCAGCAAAGCTTTTTCACGAAGTCTTTTTTAAATATTAAAATCCCATCCTTCCCAACAGGAAAGCTTTTTTCAGGCTAAGAGGAGCGACTGAACGGCATCTGATGATATTGCATTGACACAAGTGTCTAGAAAAATAGGGTAGGAATGTATGATCTGTTCTGAAAAAGGAACCCTAGCTAATAGGAAATATGCTGATGCTACTTTTAATTTCATGACTCAGGTTTGCTGCAAAATTGATGGGAATCTGTGTTGGAGCTTGGTTACATTAAAACAGTTCTCCTCTGTGTGGGGTTTTTCCATGTCTTCTTTCTC